TACTGGACCTCTGATTTCATGGAGGTTTGCAACGCCCCATATGTTCATGGTGGACTTGGCAACGCCCATGATGTTTCATGGTGGTTGGCAACGCCCATTATGTTTCATGGTGGCTGGCAACGCCCATGACTTTTCATGGCGGTTGGCAACGCCCATGATTTTTCATGGCGGTTGGCAACGCCCATGATATTTCATGGTGGTTGGCAACGCCCATGATTTTTCATGGTGGTTGGCAACGACCATGATTTGTCACGGTGGTTGGCAACGCCCATGATTGTTCATGATGGTTGGCAACGCCCATGATTTTTCACTGATTTTTCATGGTGGTTGGCAACGCCCATGATTTGTCATGGCGGTTGGCAACGCCCATGATTTTTCATGGCGGTTGGCGACGCCCATGATTTTTCATGGTGGTTGGCAGTTGGCAACGCCCATGATTTTTCATGGTGGTTGGCAACGCCCATGGTTTTTCATGGCGGTTGGCAACGCCGATGACTTTTTTATGGTGGTTGGCAACGCCCATGATTTTTCATGGTGGTTGGCAACGCCTATGATTTTTCATACTGGTTGGCAACGCCCATGATTTTTCATGGTGGTTGGCAACGCATATGATTTCATGGTGGCTGGCAACGCCTATGATTTTGCAGGGTGGTTGGCAACGCATAAGGCACAGAAAATGGCCGCACAAAGGCCCTTTTGTTAAAAATGGCCGCACAAGAGGTTTTGCGGCAGAGAAGCACCACTTGTGCGGCCGTTCATTTTTCATGGTGGTTGGCAACGCCTGTGCTTTTTCATGGCGGTTGGCAACGCCCATGATTTTTCATGGTGGTTGGCAACGCCCATGATGTTTCATGGTGGTTGGCAACGCCCATGAATTTTCATGGCGGTTGGTTTGCAACGCCCATGATTTTTCACGGCGGTTGGCAACGCCCATGATTTTTCATGGTGGTTGGCAACGCCCATGATTTTTCACGGTGGTTGGCGACGCCCATGATTTTTCATGGCGGTTGGCAACGCCCATGATATTTCATGGTGGTTGGCAACGCCCATGATTTGTCATGGCGGTTGTCAACGCCCATGATTTTTCATGGCGGTTGGCAACGCCCATGATTTTCATGGCGGTTGACAACCGGCATGATTTTCATGGGGGTTGACAACCGTCATGATTTTCATGGCGGTTGGCAACGCTCATGATTTTCATGGCGGTTGACAACCGTCATGATCTTTCATGTCGGTTGGCAACGCCCATGACTTTTCATGGTGGTTGGCAACGCCTATGAATTTTCATGGCGGTTGGCAACGCCTATGATCTTTCATGGTGGTTTGCAACGCCCATTATGTTTCATGGTGGCTGGCAACGCCCATGATGTTTCATGGTGGTTGGCAACGCCCATGATGTTTCATGGTGGTTGGCAACGCCCATGATTTTTCATGGCGGTTGGCAACGCCCATGATTCTTTATGGCGGTTGGCAACGCCCATGATATTTCATGGTGGTTGGCAACGCTCATGATTTTCATGGCGGTTGACAACCGTCATGATTTTCATGGGGGTTGGCAACGCCCATGATATTTCATGGTGGTTGGCAACGCCCATGAGTTTTCATGGTGGTTGGCAACGCCCATGATTTTTCATGGTGGTTGGCAACGCCTATGACTTTTCTTGGTGCTTGGCAACGCAAAACAAAAATCATGGTGGCTGGCATCGCCTATAATTTTGCAGGGTGGTTGGCAACGCATAAGGCACAGAAAATGGCCGCACAAAGGCCCGTTTGCTAAAAATGCCCGCACAAGGGGTTTTGCGGCAGAGAAGCACCACTTGCGCGGCCGTTCATTTTTCCATGGTGGTTGGCAACCAGCATGACTTTCATGGGGGTTGACAACCGTCATGATTTTCATGGCGGTTGGCAACGCTCATGAATTTCATGGGGGTTGGCAACGCCCATGATTTTTCATGGTGGTTGGCAACGCCCATGATATTTCATGGTGGTTGGCAACGCCTATGATTTTTCATGGTGGTTGACAACCGTCATGATTTTCATGGGGGTTGACAACCGTCATGATTTTCATGGCGGTTGACAACCAGCATGACTTTCATGGGGGTTGACAACCGTCATGATTTTCATGGCGGTTGGCAACGCTCATGATTTTCATGGGGGTTGGCAACGCCCATGATTTTTCATGGTGGCTGGCAACGCCCATGATTTTTCACGGTGGTTGGCAACGCCCATGATTTTTCATGGTGGTTGGCAACGCCCATGAATTTTCATGGCCGTTGGCAACGCCCATGATTTTTCATGGTGGTTGGCAACGGCCATGATCTTTCATGGCGGTTGGCAACGCCCATGACTTTTCATGATGGTTGGCAACGCCCATGATATTTCTTGGTGGTTGGCAACGCCCATGATTTTTCATGGTGGTTGGCGACGCCCATGATATTTCATGGTGGTTAACAACGCCCATGATATTTCATGGCGGTTGACAATGCCCATGATATTTCATGGTGGTTGGCAACGCTCATGATTTTCATGGCGGTTGACAACCGTCATGATTTTCATGGGGGTTGACAACCGTCATGATTTTCATGGCGGTTGACATGGGGGTTGGCAACGCCCATGATTTTTCATGGTGGTTGGCAACGCCCATGATTTTTCATGGTGGTTGGCAACGCGCATGTTTTTGCATGGTGGTTGGCAACGCCCATGATTTTTCACGGTGGTTGGCGACGCCCATGATTTTTCATGGTGGTTGGCAACGCCCATGGTTTTTCATGGTGGTTGGCAACGACGATGATTTTTCATGGCGGTTGGCAATGCCCATGGTTTTTCATGGCGGTTGGCAACGCCCATGATTTTCATGGCGGTTGGCAACGCTCATGATTTTCATGGCGGTTGAAAACCGTCATGATCTTTCATGGGGGTTGGCAACGCCCATGATATTTGATGGTGGTTGGCAACGCCCATGATATTTCATGCTGGTTGGCAACGCCCATGATATTTCAGTGTGGTTGGCAACGCCCATGATTGGTGGTTGGCAACGCCTATGTTTCTTTTTATGATGGTTGGCAACGCCCATGACTTTTCATGGCGGTTGGCAACGCCTATGATATTTTCATGATAGTTGGCAACGCCTATGATTTTTCTTGGTGGTTGGCAACGCCCATGATTTTTCATGGTGGTTGGCGACGCCCATGATATTTCATGGTGGTGAACAACGCCCATGATATTTCATGGCGGTTGACAATGCCCATGATATTTCATGGTGGTTGGCGACGCCCATGATATTTCATGGTGGTTAACAACGCCCATGATATTTCATGGCGGTTGACAATGCCCATGATATTTCATGGCGGTTGGCAACGCTCATGATTTTCATGGGGGTTGGCAACACCGATGATATTTCATGGGGGTTGGCAACGCCCATGATATTTCATGGTGGTTGGCGACGCCCATGATTTTTCATGGTGGTTGGCAACGCCCATGGTTTTTCATGGTGGTTGGCAATGCCCATGATATTTCATAATGATTGGCACCGCCCATGCTTTTTCATGGTGGTTGGCGACGCCCATGATTTTTCATGGCGGCTGGCAACGCCCATGGTTTTTCATGGTGGTTGGCAACGCCTGGCAACGCCCATGATATTTCATGGTGGTTGGCAACACCCATGATATTTCATGGCGGCTGGCAACGCCCATGGTTTTTCATGGTGGTTGGCAACGCCTGGCAACGCCCATGATATTTCATGGTGGTTGGCAACGCTGATGATATTTCATGGTGGTTGGCAATGCCCATGATATTTCATGGTGGTTGGCGACGCCCATGATATTTCATGGTGGTTGGCAACGCCCATGATTTTTCATGGTGGTTGGCAACGCCCATGATATTTCATGGTGGTTGGCAACGCCCATGATATTTCATGGTGGTTGGCAACGCCCATGATTTTTCATGGTGGTTGGCAACGCCCATGATTTTTCATGGTGGTTGGCAACGTGTATGACCCCTAATAATTGTTAAATCTAACATCCAAGCAAAATGCAACAAAGTGTTGTTTTCCCTTTGAAAAATCATCCAAACGGGGGCCCCTTTGTTCGGACGCACCGCCTGGATTCGTGGCTCACCTCACCATCGAGTGCAGCGGAGCAACCTGGACCATCCCGCAAAAAAAAAAAGAAGAAGGGGGGAGCCGAGTGGATCTTGAGCCTTGCGGCATGAAAAAAACGAACGATAGTCTGAAAACCCGGACGAGAACCCCGAAAGCTGAACCTTTGTGTGACTTGGAGCAGGCCTCACTTGCAGCTACCTTCCCACCATGTCCCTAACCAGAACTCTGATCGGTAGCTCCGAGTCCGGCTCCATCTAAGGCGAATTTGGATACCCCGGCTCCCTTCCGACGACCATCTAGCTTAGGCTAAGAACAGCCAGGACGGGCAAACTCAACGAACGCCACCTGTCCCCTGCCCAGCGCACAAGAGATGTGCAGCTACCTTTTGCCCGGATCTGGCAGCCAAACATATGGGCACGAGCCGAAAACTAAGGGCACCACACAAATTGTGATTGTCCGTTTCAAAGGACACCCACCCATATCAAGCAAAGGCCCGCAAAAAGAAAGGAACGAGGGAGGAAAAGCCTGGTAGAGCAACGTCTTGCATTGTTGCGGGACTCCCGGATTTCCGGGAAATGGCTCCCAGAGAGCAAAGGATCCCCTCGGCGGAACGCTTTTGACTCACCTTGCGGCAAGGAGGTATTCGATGCAAATCCGCAAATGGACAGGAATATGTCAATCATATTTCGGTGTTGCGGGTTTGCAAAATGAGGACCCGGAAAGGACGACACAAAATCACCCCAAGGTCCCAAATTGGCTTGCCTCTGCCTCAGGGGCGCCCCAAAATTGCCGTGGCTTTTCATGTTGGTGTCCCTTAAAAGCAAGCCCAAAAGGAGACCAACTGGAAAACTGACACCCAAATGCCAAATGGGTCCGCTCTTGTGTCGACCAGGGCCGCCGCAAAGGGAGATCTCCTCACCCAGCGGCGCATGGCGCATGACGCCGCCCTGGTCCATTCGGAAGACGGGGGTGCCCCCCTGGCCCTGTGAAGAAAGACTTCCCTAGAAAGGGGTTCTCGGTTTTGATTGCCTCCCTCGGGCTCTCGTTTTTTTCTCCCTTGTTTATTTGATATGGTGTACGTATGTGAATAAATGTTTTCTCTTTTCATAGGCTGTTTCAGGTGGTTTGAGATTGGTGATTTGGGGATTTGAACCACTTCTTGCAGAGAGAAAGGGGGAAGGTACCCCCCAACCTCCAATTCACCAATCCAAACCACAAACCGCCTGAGCGATTCTGATCAGCGAGTGCTAAGGTTGAGCACCCCAAATGAATTCCTTTGGTGTCCCGTGGTTCCCCGATAAAAACATCAGAACAAATGGGTCCCCGATTGTGGGACGCCATTTGAACCTACCCGGAGTGCTTGGCTCAAAAAGGTCTACAAGAAAGTGTCTTCCAGACCGACTCAAGCACTCAGCGCACGGTTGATTTTCATAGCCCATCAAAATCTCAAAAAATCATGGCGGGCAATTCCCATCTTGGGCGGATCCGAAGCATGCGGGGCGAATGGTTGGCTTGGCCACCCCCACAAAACAAAGTGAGCGAACCTGTTTTGGATTTGGGATGTCATTCCTTCCTAAAGCTCATGTTGTGCACCAGCATGCGAGGCAATGGGGGGGGGAGGGAGTCAACGCTGCCATTCGTGAAATCGGGTGTCTTTTGTTAGGCTTCGGACCCCCAAAATGGCTTTTTGCTTGTCCTTCGGGCTTCCCTTTAAAACCACCAAATCAGAAAAAACCGGACCCATCTGGGAGTATCTTTTCTGGAGGGGTTGTCCTTGAGGGTCACAAAAAAAAGGTATGAGTAAAGCACAGACTCCATCTCTTTGGGGGGGGTACCACCTACCCAACAGACACGGCCCCCAAATCCTTCGCCCGGCGCCTTCTCTCGCACGCTCCAGGCCCGCAAGCGCAGATCGGCCTTGCCAAACAGGCGGCCAAGTCGCTGGGGCGCTTGCACTCGGAAAAACAAAAAGAACTGGTGGCCCCAAAAACCTACCCCCTCCCCCGCTCAGGCCCAAAAATAACACCCCCCCCCCAAAAAAAAAAAAAAAACTTGTGACCCCTGTGACCCCCCCCCCCCTGGCCCTCAGAAATACGGGACCAACCTGGTTTTTTCAAGTGCTGACTTGCAGCCCAAAGAAGTCCCCTCCCCACAAAAACGGGACCAACATGGTCTTACGCCAAGTGGAGCCCAGATGCTGAATGTGACTGTTAATCTCTGTTACCCACACGTGGTCTAAGACTATTGGTAAGAAAGACCTTCCAGACATATTTGTGGATTCCAACAAGCCTCTGTAAAATTGCCACCTCAAAATACCCTCATGCCATTCCAAGACAAGTTTGGGGCACAACCGCCTTTGGTGAGTCACGGCCTCGTTGAGGGTCAGCGAAGCGCCGCTCAGGGGCGCCAACACGTCGCCCCAGCCTTCCTGGCGAAACCCGGCTCTCCCCAGGAAGCCGCGACTATCTGCGCTGGGCGAAATTTGGCTGTGGCTCCAAAAAGTGTACCCAAAATGGCCCCCAAATAAATGGAAACAAGAACCAACACCTGCGCAACCCTGGCTCTTAAATTTTGCAAAAGCCAGGGGTTCAACTCCGAATCCAAACCCCGATCCAAGCCAACTAAAGGGTGACCCGGTGAAGCCCAAATGGATACACAACTGGGGAAACGTCCGGACGTAGATCCCCGTGTGAATCATTTAAACGTGTCCCAAAAAAAGAGGCCCTCGTTTTAACTCAACTTATCTACCTCACAAACTTTCCATTTGGGAAAAAGGCTAGCCTGGTCTCATACTCTCGAATTGCCAGGCCAACCGCAAACGAGAGAGGAGCTGATGACGCGTCAGAGCTACCTCCAGTACGGATGTGCCCTTGTATTCACACTGCAAGAATATCCGTTGACTGCCTCCCTGGTTCCAAGTTGATCTTGACTACTGCTTAACATCATTCACAGGAGGAAGGCCAAGGAACAAATCATCCGCACTTGCGGCCATTCTGGGACTCCGCAAACCAGCCCCCAAAGACAGCATTCACGTCCTTAGTTGGTCTGAATTGCTCCTCTTTTTGCCTTGATATTGGCTTATCAAGCCCTCAACTGTTGTGGGGGTGGGGCTTGTAAAATCCATGACTGTAAAATCCATGATCACAAACAACTCCCGGGAAAAAAGAATCCAACCTAACCCACAGGATTGGTGAGGTGTCCGACCCTGGCGGGGCAGGATTAGGGGGAAAACCAAAAAGACCCCAACCCTTGTGATCGGCTTTTCGGAACGACTCGGAGGCCTGTTTTTGTTGGGGGGGGAACACCATCTGCAAAACAAAAAAACACCTGAGTGTCTTCGGTAAAGGGTACCAACTAAAAGAAGGACACCCCCATCTCAAAGTAGGCTCTTTTGAAGGAAAACCACAAGGGCAGCCACATCTTTTTGGGGTCCGCCATTTGAGACATACCCTGCGTCTCTCTTTCAGTCAGTTTATCGCCATGACCCGTTGCTCTGACTCGACTGACCGACTCGACGCCTCCACGTCAAGGCCGGTGAGCGCCAGGCCGCACGCGCAGCGCTCGATGTGGGTGCCCTCAACGCAGCCAGCGGTGGGGTGGGTGGCTCACCCCATGGGGCTCCCGTGAAAGAGGGGCAAGATATAGACAGGCCCACACAGGAACAAGCCAGCCAGGCCAAAAAAAACAAGAACCAAGAGGGAAAATGAGGAATGACACATGGGTCTATGCTTTTGAGGATACCCCCTTGTTCATCGTTCTAAAGGGATACCAGGAGGAAAACCGGCTTAAAAGAATGATACGCTGCAGCAAAGAAAAAACACTGGTGATGTAGGACACACATCCAGAGTCATGTTGAGGGCTTGAGGGTACCCTGCTTTGAAGAAACCACCTAGTTGGGCTTGCCCTGTTAGAAAGAAAAGAAAGCAGAAGCATGCAATTTGCTTAGATTGCAAAGCTGAGGATCGCTGACACTTAGTTTAAATCCAGCACACCGTCTCAAGCTAAGGTTTCCAATTCAAAACCATGGCCAGTATAGTTTATAATATATACATATAGGTCCAGGCTGCATTGCAAACCCAGAACTATGGCCTAGTCGAAGCGATTTGCTTGCTTTGCTGCCGGGTCCGCAGGCTGCCGGGGTTAATGGACAAGCGACCCCCATTTCCCACAGCCGAGCGTGGAAAGTCACCCTCAAATTTCCACGGCACTTTGCTTTTGACCAGGGGAGTTGGGGGGGAGGCGGGGGTTACCCCTCTGTTTCCCCTCAAAGAAAGGGAGCATTTCCGGGAGCCGTCCAGGTGGCACAGCCCCCAATCGGCGCCCAAGCGGCGCCTCCAGCAGAGCAGAGGCAGCACCCCCTGCCAGAGAGATGCCCACCTGCGTTGCAACAGGAGGGGCGCGCAGGGGATGACTTTTAGTGCACCAAACGCCCAGGCAAACCCGGCAAAAACAAATATTGGCACCCCCAAAACCATTGACATCTGAAAATGGCACGATTGGTTCCGTGATCGACTCTTGGGCTTCATCTTGGATCTAGCTGGCATTGGTTCCAATGGCTATTGCGTAGTGGGTTCCACTTACACGAGCCCGTATTTGGTCGTTTCACTGTGCAGGGTGCGACAAGGACAAGACTCTTGCATCCGTGGCCATAGCAAAAGGACGTCTGCCGGCTTTGTGGGTGTGAATTTCACTTGGAAGCCCAAAACCCAACCAAAACGAAACGCTTGGGACTCCGCCGCCCACTTTGCGCTCGACGCCTCGCCTGGCAGTCCCGCACCACGCTCCGCAGGATCCGCACCTCGCTGTGCGCGGCCACCTCGACGCCTCCGCGCGCAACGGCTCGGCAACGCGCCACGAGAAACGAGGCGCGCCGAGAGAGGCGTGGGGATGGGTTGAAGAGGGCTGGCTGCGTTGGAAGAGGTGACTTGGGACCCGAAAGATGCCTTGAGAGAGTGGTTTTCCAAAGATGACTTGGAGGATGTGCTAGTTTAACATGTTGCTATGATCATGGATTGGTTTGGTTTGAAAAGAAAAATTTGCTAAGCCAATGTGTCCGTGCTGTTTCTGCCAGGAACTGCTGTGAATCTAGGACGAAGGGCGCAACAATTCCTTCTGATCATGCCTTGGCTTGATTAAAGTATCATTTTTTGCTCCAGACCCCTCCCTCCCCTGGCTGAGAATTTTAAGAATTGCATCCCCCCTTTGGAGGAGGGTGTCCAAAAAGGACGTCAAGGAGCACGCTTGCCAGGTGGAGAACTCTTGTTGGATTCACTAATGGGGGAGGAACAAAACATGCAACCCTGCCTCAAAAATGCCAGCGCAATCCTGGTTTTATGGGACCCATTCCAGCCACTTTCTGCCATCCTCCAGAGTCAACAACCCGGCTCTGCGTGTGAGCCTCAATCCAACTTGGGCCCCCGCCCACGCCGCCAGCACACTCAACCTGGGATTTTGCTGAAGGGACGGAAAGAAGGGATCCATGGCTTCCTTTATTCGGGAATTGCCAGGTTCATTCCCTAACCCAGGAATCCCCAGGCAGGGAATGAGAAATGGAATGATCCCGAGATAAACCATCCAACTGGTGGCTTCCTTTAAGGGAATCCCCGGGTTCAGTCCAACTCCTTCCCTACCGATTTCGCGCCAGCAAAACGAGCAACGCCCCCGTCGGGATCCGGTGCCGTTCTCGCCTCGCAGCGCTCCACGGAGCAGCCGCCGGCCAACAGCAGCGCGGGGCCCCCGGTGATTTGGAAGCGGAGCCGGCTGAGCCTCGGAAGTGGGGCGTTTAGGTCGCTTGAAGGAAGAAGCCAAGGGCAGGACACCTGGGGACTTGCTATTTGTTTAAGCCCCAATTTCTTCAATGACCCTGAAAACTTCTTGCAAATGAGTCTTGCAGCTTGCATGGCACGGGTGCGGAAGTGAGTAATACAACCCATTTTGCCCCACAGAGAAAATGAAGGCAGAGGGGCAGAGGGGGAGCTAATGGAGCTGAGACCAGGTGCGATTGAACATCATTCGATCCCAAGGAGGGGGCGGGTCGCCGGGTCGCCTGAAAGTTTCTGACTGTCAGCTGCTCAGAGCGCCGAGGTCGAATCATCTTGCGGATGTGAGGGATGAACACATGAGAAACCTGGACGCCTTTCTGAAGGAAAGCCAAGCAATCTCAAAGATGGAGACCCTGCGAAATGGGGAGGGAGGCAAACAAGAAACGGCTCGCAGATAGGGCTCCCACTGAATCCTCACAGAGATGGAACTCTCATTGCGGCACTGGAGAGAGAAACCGATGCTGACAAAAACCTATTCGAATCATAGCCATTCATGGCGCCCCGAGCACCCCACATGGGTGCTTCTCACATGGCCCCAGCTAGAATAGTAGTGGCAAAATGGGCTCCGCATCCCAGGCCAAGACAAACTCCCCAGCCTGGCCGGCGCCCGGCGCCTGGCGATTTCCTTTTCGGCACCTGGGGCTCCGGCACCACGGAGCTCAGCGACTTGCCCCCCGCCACGATGAGGCCCTGGATCAAGTCGAAACGGCACGCGTTCCTTCCCAACAGGGGTCTCACTCACTGACTCTGGAGGAAATCCTGCGATGACTTTGGTCCAATGCGGCTTGTTTCCTTTGCAGGCAACCGTTTGGTACCAAGTTCTGCAGGGGGGTTGGGATTGTGGCAAGAGGTTCGGGACCTTGGCGCGCGGCAGGAAAAACTATCCTTGAGCAAATGGAAATGGAGAAGGGGTCCTTCCGAACGAGAGCCTTGGTTTGAGGGTACGGTTTCATCTCACACCTGCACATGGGAGCATTCAGGAATGGACCTTCGAGTGATGGGGCAACTCCGGCATGTCGGGGGGTGTTTTCTTTGAGGACCCTTTTTGGGCTTTGAAGAGAGGAGAAAAGGAAACCACCCGTTTTGGGGGGTTCCGATTCCTATTTGGAGACAAACCCGACGCGGGGTTCCGGTCCAACTCTTGAAAATGAAAGTCGGCGTGGATTCTCGAAGGGAGCTGTGGGTGCAAGAGACATGTCCTGCGCTTGTGAATCGAACAACTTTTCCGCCTTCTTTGAGGCGAACAACGAAGAATGCTCCACCCTTCACCAATATTCACGCAATTCTTGCATCCCAGTGGGGTCACTTCAGGTCAGTCCTACTTGGGCACAGAGCTTGTCTGGAGCTTCTCAGAATGGACTCCACTTTGTTTTGGTCTTTCAAAGATTGGTTGGTCAACTCAGAGGAAACCCATTTCACACCAACCCCCCCTTTTGACCAACCCCCCTCCCCTTTGACCACCAACCCATTGGCACCCCCCCCTTTTGACACCAGATTGGTTCCCTTCGACACCAACCACCACCACCCAAAGCCCCACCCCATTCCCCACCCCACCCAAGCCCCGTTCGTTTTGGCCTCGCCCTGGATGAGCGCGGAGTTGTCCGCCGGCCCGGCCAGGCAGATGTTCTCGCGGATGGGAGAGATGGGTGGCTCATCTTTGTTTTGAGTTGGAAAAAGCAACCCACGGTCTGTGGCAAAAGGGAATGCACAGCTTTGGGTGTCTTCTTCTTCTTCTTCTTCTTCTTCTTCTTCTTCTTCTTCTTCTTCTTCCTCTTGTTTTGTTTGGGGGGGTCTGTCGGTTGGTCTGAGGAAACCACAAGGAAAACCAAGAAGAAAATGTTGGGGGGGTCCGAACCCCAAGAAAAGACGCACCCAAATGGAAGATCTCGAGTTTCAAATGTCGCATCTGTAACCCGTGGAGCCAATTTCGGCTGATGTTCCTCTTGGGGTGATGCTTAATGGGGCAAAAATGGTCCATTTCTCATGGAGAGATGTTTAAACAAAAGCTGCTCATGTTTAAAGGGGGTCTAAACTGCCATCCACGGACTCGTGAGGGAGGTTCTCCAAATGGTGATTGCACCCCTCATGGGTGGTTCCAATGGAAACAAATCATTTGGGGGTTCCCCCATCACACCACTGAAGAGAAACCTGCAGGAGTGGATGGTTTGGTGTGCCCAGCCCCGGCAGGGCCGTGAGCGTTGCGATTGATCCAGAACCTGGACTCATCCAGCCAGAAACTGAAGTCGCCAGAAACCACAAACGTCAACTTCGAGCGAGGCCCCGGGCTGGGTTGATCCCTGAATCCAACCGGGGAAAAGTTGAAAGCAACGAGTTACATCTTCTGCTTCCTGGTCTTAAAATGGTCTACTCAAATCCACGGGAAATCCGCAGCCATATTCGGTTGGGACAGTCCAACTACCCGGGCTTTGATTATCAGCCCAGGAAAACAGTTTGGATTTGTTGTACCCAAATCACTACACATGACTGCAGAGCAGCTAGAAACTCGCAGACATGGCTCCCACGAGGATTGGATGTTTCCCTAGGTGAAAACCTGAGCCCCCGCCTCCCCAAAAACCTGAGCTCCCGCCTCCCCCCAAAAATGGTTTCTTCGAACATTCTTGGGGATTAGAGTTCTGAGCACAATTCCGCTGGGTGCCAAAAAGATTGGCCTAATGCCCTGGGTTGATTCTCTGTCCGACCGGACCTTGTCCAGGATCAGCGGCTGCAGAAGCTGCTCCACATGATTGGGCCTGAACTCTTCCCAAGACGGTTCATTGTATCTTCCGGTGTCTTATCGTCCGGTTTCAGTAGGGGTGTGTGTAAACACTATTCTATGGAATGACTCAAACAATGATTTATCTTCGTGTATAGTGACGCTCCTGAAAGTGACTGGTAATGTTCTGAAACCCTGTTGAACACTTGTATTTCTGATAAAAAGCACTCGCCAAGAACAAGAACACCTGGCACTTCCATCAAAAAAATGGGCCGTGCCCTTGGCCACGGCCAAGCCATCCACGGCCGAAAGAAATAGCCAACCCAACTGCGGCTTGCTGCCTGGGCTCGGCGAATGAAATTTGTCCATGGGCTGGTGTAGCGCAAGCTCAAACATGTGCCGCTTGCTTGCCAAAAAGAAAAATATGCTCAAATCCAGTGCCAGGAATGATTGAATGTGCGACGCGATGCTGCACCGCCCCATCAGGACTTAGTTTACGGACTTCAGCGAATGCCAAAATCAGACCCTTCCTCAAAATCAAGACCGTCAAGGCGCGCACCAATGGAATTGAAGTCGAACTCACTAAACCCGTTCCGACCCTTCTCAAGAATCCAGACAGCTACTTCATGCAGTGGCGCTACCTTGCGACCGAAAATTATGGAGGTCCCAAAATTGATCTTCAGGAGCTCGTGAGGGGGAAAAAAAAGTGTGCACCAGCAAGGGCGGACCTGAATCCAGCTGTTACAGGGCGATCCCGATGCTCAGCAATGTGCAGAACCTCTTGCCGGGACCAGCTCAGAACTGATTGCCATGACGTGACTTAAGAACTGTTCCAGCTGTGCATTGGAAGCAGCGGTGTATGTGTGTGTGTGTGTGTCCGTGTCTGAGTTTGCGTCTGTCATATCGGCCTTGGTAAGGCATAGGTTCGGGTTCGTGCCTGCGTGCCGGTGCCTGCCTGCCTGTGTGACTGCGTGCGTGCGTGCATGCGTGCGTGGGGGCGTGGGAGCGTGGGTGCGTCTGCGTCTCCGAAGGTATGGGTGCCTGCTGCATGCCTCCGCGCGTCTCTGCATGTCTCCCCGCCTCTCTTTCTGGCTGTCTCTCTGTCTCCCTGTGCTTGTGTGTCGGTGTGTGTGGTCCGACCGCCCATCCCGGTCGCACGGCGTCTCCTTCACACTTGCGACTTTTGAACCACGAGCAAGAGCTTGTGACGTGCTGCTGCTCAACTAAAGGACTGTTGCCCGGGTGGAACGGTCCACTGAACTCCGAGCACTTCGGTGCCTTCGGGCTGACGTTCCTCGCTGCTCCTGAACGGGCCTTTCCCCCTCGCCAAAGCGAGCCACACTGCGCCTCTTTGCAGGCACAGGCGGGCCAGGGTGCAAACCAATCGCGAGTGACCAGGGAGCAACATAAGCAGAATTCCCAAACTGGAACCCAAACCACGGCACTTTTGCAAGATCATCTTACCCACTGATTTCGGCCTTTGGGTATGTCTCCAGTTGTCACCGCCCTTCGTTGAGCTGCATGCGAATCCCTGATTTCGTGGCCTTAGGGTTGCCCGCTCTGGCTCTGTCACGCACCTGTTTTGTGGTATTGCTGTTGGTGGGGTCTTGCATTGCAAGTTGCCTGATGTGCAGTAGTTTGCTGACAGCAACCTGAAACTCAAAAAACGAAACAAGGAGGATGTGGGTATCGCCTTGCAGGCGATCATTTGGGCGGCCTAGATCCGCGCCGCTTAGTTCCAAACCGCCAAGCCCATCTTTGGTGACTTCCTGTTGCCCAATGTCTGTAAAAAATTACCCTGACCCCTCAGATCCTCTGCCCAAAGTCAAACTTCTAGTGGGTTAAAATGGAAACTGCCACTGATTAAACCCCTAGAGGCCTCCAAAATCAAAAGCTTTAAAAAAGAAAACGGCTGACGCCCAGCAAGTACCATACCGGTTTCTCCTGGCCGATTCCATCGGACCCGTCTCTTGCCGCTTCGCCGGCGCGGCTTCGCCGCGCCCCAGAAGCCACGCTCAGCTCTCGTGCTCCTCGATGCCCTCGAACTCGTCACCTTTGAGAAAAAAGAAACACGGTGAGTTGAGTTCGAGGGGTTCCCTTTAAAAAAAAACTAGAGGACGATTGGCCCGAAAACATTCTCCCACAGGCGCTCATCCAGCCGCGGAGACACCTTTTTACATCGCTGCGGCGAGCGTCTCTGCGCGCGGCGATGCTCAGTGTGTATGGTCACATGAGAGCTCCATCTCATCATCCTACTTTCCTCTCGAACTGCGCCGCGCGATTTCTCACGAAAGTGGTCTGCGCAAGCTGCATTGTTCCAGGCTGCTGCGCGCAAGTTGCTCTCTGCAAGCTGCTGCACGCTGCTGCACGCATGTTCCCTGTGCAAGTTGCTCTGCGCAAGTGCTCTGAGCAAGTTGCTCTGCGCAACTGCTCTGCGCCAGTTGCTCCGTGCAAGCGCTTTGCGCATGTGATCTGTGCAAGTTGGTCTGTGCAAGTTGCTCTGCGCAAGTGCTTTGTGCAACTGCTCTGTGCAAGTTGCTCTGCGCAAGTTGCTCTGCGCAAGTGACTCTGCGCAAGTTGCTCTGCGCAAGTGCTGCCGGAGCTGTGGGAATGTACTTCGCATACTATTTTTGTACTTAACAGTTGCGATTTTCCAGCCGGAGCTGCGGGGGTGTGCTCCGCGTACTACGTTTGTACTTAAAAGTTGCGCGGGAGCACGCTCCGCGTACTACGTCTGCACTTAAAAGTTGCGATTTTCCAGCCGGAGCTGCAGGAGTACGGTCCGCGTACTACGTTTGCTACTTACTTAAAAGTTGCGATTTTCCAGCCTGAGCTGCGGGAGCACGCTCCGCATACTACGTCTGTACTTAAAAGTTGCGATTTTCCAGCCGGAGCTGCAGGAGCACGCTCCGCGTACTACGTTTGTACTTAAAAGCTGCGATTTTCAAGCCGGAGCTGCCGCGGACCAGGGGGGAATCGAACCCGCGACCGCGGGATTGCGAAAGCAGGCGCGCAAACCACGTTTCGCGAGGCCCGGGCAAGTGGCAATTTGATGAGCGGAGGGCCCAGTGTCATTAGCCCTCAGCTGCAAATTAGCTGCAACTTCACATGGCAAATTGCGGCCAAACAGGAATCAGTCATGGAATTCCCACAAATGGCTACATGATCCAACAAAGCGATGTGTCTCTCGTGTCCAAGTTGACATGTCTTGCTGATTGGCCTCTGGACCATCTTGGCTCCAAAAGGCTTCCGCGTTTTGCTCGCCTTCCTGTTGAGAGCACTGTGCGGCACCACTTATCGTGGTGGCCCTTGGTTTCCTGTGGCGAGGGGCCGTTCGGTGTCCGATTTCGTTGAACTCCATTCCTGATGGCCTGCTCATGCACCCTCATAGAGCACATAGACCCTCATTCTACTAGTTACTTTGCTCCCTGCTAAGCCGATGGAACCTGGGAATCTCTTACTTACTTGGACGGCACGTGGTACTTGCCAACGTGTGCTGGCCGAGCGGCCATCGTCCACTGCGAAGTCCTCGAAAATGTGGGGCTGCTAAACGCCAAGCGCAAGGAAATGTGCCATCTGCATCTAGACCCAAATTTGAGAAATTCTTGATTTGGGTGGTTCCTGCCTGAAATGGGAGCACTTTCGTCTTAGAAATCAGCTACAAAGGAGATCCCCGATTTCAGGCGGCAACCCGTGTTCTTTGTTCTCTCCCACGGGAAATGTGTTTGTCCCCTCTCCCCCGCTTGTGGACAAAATACATGTCAGTCTTTAGAAAAGTTGGTCCCTGGAAAACCAACGTAAAAGGCCGCAATGCCCATGTTCTACACTGTTCGGAGCAATTTGTTTCACTCCATCAAAGAAACCGCCAACTGAATGCAAGGGAATGGAGCCAGCGGACCGCAGAGCATCCAAAGTGTGATTCGCGCAAGACATTTCAAAGTTGGGGAACCCGCGTTCTTACTTACCCTCTCTCCCACGTTGCCATGGCACCTGAAAGGGGGTCCCTCCAAGAGGAGTTTGATCTTCCAGGTACCCTCCCGCAGGTGCCATGTTAGTTGGAGGGAGGTCCCGGTACATTTCAGAGTGGGCTCTGACAGAGTGGTTCACAACACCATCCGAGAACTGGATGGACCCCCCTTGGCTGGTGCACAAACCCAGGCCAGCCGTTGGCTCTTTGTTAGTACCCAAGCCGAAATTTGGCCGCGGTGCAGGGTTAAGCCTCTCTTTGCAAGTTCCAAAGCTACCCGTATTTGTTCCGACACACCCATGTGCGTCTGTCCTTCTTTAGGATCAACTCCCCGAAACGTGGGTTTTCCTTTTGGTTTCCCTGTAAAACCACCCAGAAGCGAATCCTTCCAGGATCAGGGCCAGGCAAACCGTACGACACACTTTGACCACATTGATGGGGTCCCCAAATGTCAGGGGAAAAGAACCCACACACATGCTTCTTACATTGGGAGACCGCCAGCTGGTTGCCTTCTGCTTCTCCCCAAACTGAAACAGCAGGCCCATGTGTGCCGAGGAGCCCATTGCTCCCTGGGCGGTCGCTCTTGTGGCTCCCTTTCCTCCTTTGCCTGCGGTTGCCTCGCCAGACGGGAGCAACGCGGCAAATTCCAAAGGGGGGCCCACGCGTTTGTCGACCCACTTCGCAATCGAAAGACTAAGCTAGACGTGTGCGCTTTTCGTTGCAACTCCTGTAGCAATCCTGGCTGATGTCTTAAATTCACCCAGAAAAAGCCTCAATTTTAGGGGTTCCCAGAGTCTTGCGACATGCCCATGCCGCCATCAGGTGTTACGTCACAGCAGCAATATCGCAAAGTGTGCCACGGGTCTTGCAGCATAGGGGGGCGGGGGGGGGGGGGGAAACATGACACCAACCATTTCACTTGCAGGTATGCTATTCGAGCTCCGCACAAAGCACATAATATATAGATATGTTGTATAAATACAGTCGCATGTATTCTAACTAATACTTGTTCGACTGATTCTAAAAAAGAAGGACACCAAGAGCTAGTTTTGGGAACTGGACACTTCTTG